ATTTCTTCACGACAGCATTTAATAATTTCATTTTGTGAAGTCTTCGAAATGTAGGAGGCATTCTTTGAACAGTTATTAAGATGAGAGCCTAAAACATCATTTCCATTGCGTACAGCAAAATTTAAAAGTTTATTAAAACAACCAGTTCCACATTTCGAATACTCTCCAGCCTCTGAAAGATATTGTGAATCATCTATGTGGCCTCTCAAAGGTGTATTGGTTTGACCGCAAAAAATTATAGCATCAACAATAGGACGAAGTATTTGGCGAATTTTTAATATTTTTTCTTTTGCATTAGTATCAATGATGACATTTGTTGGTTGACTTATGCCTGAGGAATGACTCAAAAAAATATTAAAAACAGGCATAGTAAATGCATGTAAACCATTTTTAGTTGACTCATGCTTTGAAAATGATCTAATAGCATCAGACCATTTATTGAAAGGCTCCAAATACAAATGTGTTAACTTACGTGATCTTAGTTTGATATTATTGCTAAATAATACACAAGATAAACAAAATGCCCCATCAGTACTTTTAGAATATCTCAGCCAAGAAAACTCTTTCAACCAATGATATCTAAACTGACGGCCAGAATTTTTTGGGAAAATGTAATCTTCATTGGGAATAAACATTTTTTTAGTCAATAAAAAAATTTCATGGCTAGATAAAAATTCAACTTTTTATCTAAAAAAAGCAACATCATTTTGCTCAAAAGACTGGAGAGCATTTAGTACTTCTTTAGGTGGTAAAATAATGTTCGAAGGGCATTCAATATTATTGATATTATAAAAGTTAGGTACTTTCTTGATGCTTGAAGATTTTGTAAAAAAAGATTTTGATAGAACACTGTCCTTAGATGTTTTTGAGTGAGAAGAAATATCTTCATTTAATGTTAATGATTAAAAAGATGTTGTGGATAGAGAAAAAGACACTGCTAATTGAGAAGAAAAACTATTTGATTTTAGAATACAAGATGTATTTTGTAAGACTGCACTAGTAGGTTCTAAGTCTTAGTTTGTTTTATGAAAGAATGTTAGGATAGAGTAAGGCTTTTTATTTGGATTTTTAGCTTCTGTACTGGGTACAATTGTAGCAACTTGATCAATGGTGGTCTGCTTTGTATCTAGAAATTTATTAGGTGACAAGACGGGCAGCAATTTTTTCGAAATTACTGTTTTTGATTAACTGGAAAGATTACGCTTTTTAGGAATAAAAATTAGTGATTATGCTGAAATGTACCTGACTAAATATTTCCCATCATAACAAAACAAAATGTAAAATGGGGAACAAAATTTAATAGGAGTACGTGGTGAGATCTCTTGGTTAAAAAATATTTTACACTTTTCAACACCTAAATCTGGATAACAGGAAACAATATTACAAGAAAGAACCGATAATAAACCTAACAAACATATAAAACCAGCCCATTTTTCTGTGCTCTCACAGTTTGCAAAAAATTACGTCAGAACTCGTTCTACTGTAAAGTTTTGATTCGTTTTTTAAACGTTAATTTTTAATTTGTAATTAATAGCTGATGATTGCCGAAAGGCACGAAACTTTAAATACTATTATAATGTTGTTTTTCTTAATTTAAATGAAATATATATATATATATATATATATATATATATATATATATATATATATATATATATATATATATATATATATAATTTAATAAATAAAGTTATATATACAGGGGCGGATCTAGCTTTTTTTTTGAGGGGTGCTGGCAAATATGTGTTGTGCTGCGACGATGAGGGGGTGTTTTCATTACCCTCCCTCCCTCCCCTCCCCCCCCTGCGCTTTGCGTTGCATGAAAGGGGTTGGTTGTAAAAAAGGTTTTTATAAAGTACGGGGAGGGGAATTTTTTTCCGACCTCCCGGAGCTTATTAGGATCCCAATCCTCCCCCTTGATTATTAATTTGAAACAATATAAAATATTTTTGCTATTTTTTTACTTTGAGAAAAATATTTCTCTCAATAATAGATGAAAATATGAATAACCAACAAAAAAAACTATTTTAAGCTTTTTAAAATTCCAACCCTTCGGTTTATTAAGAAACCCCCTCTCCACCGTTTATTATAATTTAGAAAAATTTCCGACCCTCCTATTTATTAGAGTACAGTGCAAAAGTAATTTTGTGTACATAAAAATATTTTGTATGCAAAGTAATGCAGCAACTGTATATTGGCAGTGATCGACCGTTATATAAAGAATCAATCAATAATGATACAATAATTTCATGACCCCAAACAATGAACACACAATTTGTTTATTATTCGAATGACATTTAACATAAACTAGGAATAGCATAAGAATTATATATAATATATATATTATATACATATATCTATTTTATTTATACAGTATATACTGTACTGTACATTAAACTGAACTTCTATTTTAACTTTTAACAGCTATTAATTGTCATTTATTTTAATTTGTCAATTTACCTATTAACTTAACTAATAAATTTTTGTTCTATTGTTACAG